TTTCTCTCTCTTTCCATTTCTTTTTATTTCTCTTTCCATCTCTTTTATTTCTCTCTCTTTCCATCCCTTTTCTCTCTCTCTTTCCATCCCTTTTCTCTCTCTCTTTCCATCCCTTTTCTCTCTCCTCATCTCTCTTTTCTCTCTCTCTCAATCCCTATTTTCTCTCTCTCTCTCTCTTCCTTTCACTCGATCAATATAAGGATGAAGGGAATAAATGGATCGGTTCCACGAACCGTCGCAGACCCCTTTAAGCCCATCACTGCTACTATTGCCTGGACTGGTATGGCATGGAGACAGTGCCTTCTCGAAGTGCCCAGTTGTACATACCCCCACCCGCCAAACCCAGTTCGCTTTGTTCGTCAGCCATCGCGTCATATTAACAGTTTTTGTCAAGATAATAACAGAGCGCGCCAAGAAGCAGATACAGGACTCAAGGTTCCTCAGCCGGAGTTCGAACCTGCTTTTTCCATCTGATAAACTATTATATACCATCCCGAAAGAACGCACACGCACACACACACACCTACACACGGGCGGCTTGAGAACGCATCTCCATGTACAACAGGCACCCCTTTTACAACGGTTTTAGTTTTCTTAACGGATATTCGTCAACTGAAAGGCGGCTTTTGTCGCTTTAGGAATTTGAAGTAGTTATTTCAAGAGAAAAAAGAGATATATATATATATATATATATATATATATATATATATATATATATATATATATATATATATATATATATATATATATATATTAAGAAATGGACAAAGTCCGACAATTTATTTATTAAAGACATTTTTATGTTTAACGTTCTTTTTTTAGATACAAGTATTTAAGTAAATACTCTGTTTATAATAAACAGTATTAAATAACATTTACCGACCTGAATGTCCGAGAAATTTTCATAGAAATTCAACCTTGCCAATCGAACGATCCTTTGTGGCCGAGAGGTTAGGCACGTCAGCGTAAATGACGGTTCCGTATAGGATGCAGGTTCGTATCCTGTCAAAGGACGAATATTTTCTATGAAAATTTCTCGGACATTCAGGCCGGTAAATGTTATTTAATACTGTTTATTATAAACAGAGCATTTACTTAAATAATTGTATCTATAAAAAGAACGTTAAACATAAAAATGTCTTTAATATATATATATATATTGCCGGTGTAAGGGTTTCGATGGCCCCCACGGAATCTATGATATGGGACCCCCACTGCATCTCAATTTTCATTAGGTAGAATGCATACAAAATACAAATATTTATTGTCACCTAATTATGTATAATAATAAGTGAACAATTCAACTAGAAAAATTGAAAATAAATACAGTGTATCTAAATGAAGGCGACTGAGTCAAGGATTAAGGATGTTCCTAAAAAGTTCATTCCATTTTGAATAAATCAATGTTTTGCGATAATATTTAACATCAGCTTGAGATTTTTCTTGTTCAAAAGTTGGATAATTTTAACACACTCAACATTATGGGTTAAAAAATATTGTGAATTTTTTTCGAGACTTAGCATAAGCGTAATAAATTCACGGATTGAGACAAAAAAAAAAAAAGGACCCCAGAATGACGTCAAAATCCGGCAAAATTTTTCATCCTTTAAATAAAATAGTCAGTTGTTTAATTTGTAACATACATAAATGTAGGTAAAAAAAAAAGCAAATGTTGATAAAACAGCGATGGTCACAAAGCACTGCCCGGGGACCCCAATCGGGCTTGCTGCCTTCTGGTCGGAGGGTTCGTGGGTATCGCACATTCAATGCTTGGTATATAGTAACGTTGCTAAAGTTCATAATAATAAATATAGATTTTGTTCCTCACAAGTTTCAATCATCCCTTCATGTATGAAACTCAGAAGGTGAGAAAGAAAATGTATGTTTATTTTTCATGTATATAAATGTGTGTGTATGATATATATTTCTAAAAATTAATGGATTTTATTTTTTTTAATCCGGCATATTTTTATTACTGCAAACATTATTTTAGTAGATACCCGTATTTAAGTAGACGCTCTGTTTTATTTTAAACGATATGTTATGAATAATCAAAAGTGGCCTCTCCTTGTTTTGTTACTCTCTTAAAGTGAGCTATTTCTGTTTACTGGGACTATAAAAGGACACTATACGCGAACCTTGTGTCCTCACTTGAATAAAGCTTTCTTAAGGTCTACACCTGCGTAATTTTGTCATTGCATTACACGGTATTTATTTCTTTTGTCCTGCATACTCGAGAAAACTTTAAATGTACCGGGGGGGGTATTTTCTTTAACGATAAACGAACCCAGCAACTATTTTTTTTATTTGGTAAGCAAGTCTAACTAATTTATATCTAAATTTTCCAATTGATGATTTATCATTATTTGCAGTTCAACTAGACTGATATCCTCATCTTTGTTATGTTTCGGCCGTTGTGACCTCCGACCTTTTCAGGTGTCTGTTGATCTGGTGTAACCCCAGACATTTTACAGTCTACCCTAGTAAAATGGAATAAAGGTTAGGCTTCGGTTTGAAATACCTTGAAGGGTTTATCTGGATCGACAGTCGCCTGAAGAAGGCCGGAGAGTATAACCACCAAAAAGTAAATTAATGGCATATAAACTCCACTCCCTTTTCTATCACAAAAAAAAATTAGAATTCTATAAATTTAAGAAATTTGTTTTGAAAATTCCAGCAATATACACCATCCAAAATTTTCTTAAGATGCCCAGCTGTTACTGAAGTAGTAAGGGGGCGGGGTAGTATTATGCCATCAAATATGGCATTTCCTGAGATGTTTTTGTTATTGGACTAATTTTTCTTTCATTTGATTTTCGTTGCCGTTTTCTTTTGTTTTTATCGTGACACTTAGGCCGTGTTTACAATCTGCGATCATTAAGTTAGTAGCCTAATTAGCATATACAAACTAGTAGCCCCCGACAAGAATACGTTGCATGATGGGATATCAAATCTATTCAAAGGAAACTAATTTCTTTCCGAGCCTATCTACTTATTCAATGCTCGTCGTAGAATATAAAACGATTTGAGAAAAACAAAATGAACATATATATATATATATATATATATATATATATAGTTTAAAAAAAATTAATAATGATAAAAAAATATTTCGTCTAAGACACTCAGATGACTTTGGAACTAAATACTTGACACCTCATTTTATCCTCTATCTTTATAAGAGCCAGATCAGGACTAAAATGGACTACTGTTGCCCTAGTTGGGCGGGAACTGCCTAGACCACACTTTCCAGTCTTCATAAAGTTCAAAAGTATATCAGTGTCCTTGTTTGAGAAAAATTATTTTACACCCTCCAACCTCTCACTCACACACACACACACACACACACACACACACACACACACACACACACGGGACGTGGCGTGTCTCTCATTGCTCTATAGCTACTAACAGGGAAAGTGCTCAGACGAACTACATACCTTGGTTCCGCCAGGTCAAACCTTTACGGAAAGGACCCGCTATGCCACCCACATTGTAGTAAACCACCCACATTCCCTCTGTATCCCATTGGCAAGTAGTAAGTCCCACTCAAACAGCTTCTTCTCACAAACTACTACTATGTGGAACAGACTCCCAAGAGGTTGTTTCCCTGATCACTACAACCGTAACCTGTTCAAGTCTAGAGATAAACCGTTATCTTCCCCTCCTATCCACATAAACTACCCCTTAATGTGATCTCTACCTCGAGTGCCCCCGGGCCTTGTACAGGGTGAAGCTTAATGTAAAAAAAAGAAAAGAAAAAAAAATCACCCTTTTATGTTATTTTTTCTCCTCTTTCGAATTTAACGATTTTATTTACTACTTCACTAAATGGCTGTAAAGTGAGTGTGTCAGAATTTCAATGATATATCTTTTTTTTTATCTCAATAACATGATTTTATTGTTCTAAATTTAGATCAATATCATTCAATGTAGAAAGCATTTTATTCCCTCTGTCTGTCACCTATCTCTGTTCGTTAACCATCGATCTTTCTCAGTGTGTTCATCATTTGTCTACTCTTTTTCATTCGTCTATCGATCTGTCTATCGACCGGCCTGTCTAACTGTCTGTCTATCGGTTTATCGATCGGTCTAACGTTTCGTCTATCGGCCCGTTTAGTGTTCCGTCTATTGGCACTCTTACGTTACGTCTATCTGTTTACCGGCCCGTCTAACGTTCCATCGGCCTCTTTCTCTGCCTTTTTATACGTGAATCGGCCCGTCTATCGGTATTTCTATTCTTGAATCGTCCAGTGTATCGGCCTTTCTATCAGCGTATCGGCCTTTCTATCCGTGTTTCGGCCAGTGTGTGGGTCTTTCTATCCGTGAATCGGCCAGTGTGTGGGTCTTTCTATCCGTGAATCGGCCAGTGTGTGGGTCTTTCTATCCGTGAATCGGCCAGTGTTGGGTCTTTCTATCCGTGAATCGGCCAGTGTGGGTCTTTCTATCCGTGAATCGGCCAGTGTGTGGGTCTTTCTATCCGTGAATCGGCCAGTGTGTGGGTCTTTCTATCCGTGAATCGGCCAGTGTGGGTCTTTCTATCCGTGAATCGGCCAGTGTGTGGGTCTTTCTATCCGTGAATCGGCCAGTGTGTGGGTCTTTCTATCCGTGAATCGGCCAGTGTGTGGGTCTTTCTATCCGTGAATCGGCCAGTGTGTGGGTCTTTCTATCCGTGAATCGGCCAGTGTGTGGGTCTTTCTATCCGTGAATCGGCCAGTGTGGGTCTTTCTGTCCGTGAATCGGCCAGTGTGTGGGTCTTTCTGTCCGTGAATCGGCCAGTGTGGGTCTTTCTATCCGTGAATCGGCCAATATATCGGCCTTTCCACCCGTGAATCGGCCAGTGTGTCGGTCTTTCCATCCGTGTTTCGGCCAGTGTGTCGGTCTTTCCATCCGTGAATCGGCCAGTGTGTCGGTCTTTCCATCCGTGAATCGGCCAATGTATCGGCCTTTCCATCCGTGAATCGGCCAATGTATCGGCCTTTCCACCCGTGAATCGGCCAATGTATCGGCCTTTCTATCAGTGTTTCGGCCAGTGTGTCGGTCTTTCTATCCGTGTTTCGGCCAGTGTGTCGGTCTTTCTATCCGTGTTTCGGCCAGTGTGTCGGTCTTTCTATCCGTGTTTCGGCCAGTGTGTCGGTCTTTCTATCCGTGAATCGTCCAGTGTGTCGGTCTTTCTATCCGTGAATCGGCCAGTGTGTCGGCATTTCTATCCGTGAATCGGCCAGTGTGTCGGCATTTCTATCTGTGAATCGGCCAGTGTGTCGGCCTTTCTATCTGTGAATCGGCCCGTCTCTCTTTGTAATCACTTTATGCATGTTACGATGAAATGCAATACATGTTTTTTAACTATTGGCACGTTGATACCTTGTTACAAATTGACATCAACTGATCTCGCTTTATTGTGTGTGTGAAAAAGTGAGTGAGAGATAAAGAATGTGAGAAAGCGATAACTTCTTCCACAAATGTAATTTTGAACCAAAAATGGAGCCAAAATAACGTGAAACTCAATATCAAATAAACAGACGCTTGTAATTTTAGAATTCAAGAAAACTGTCGGCTAAGTTTGTTATATATATATATGTTATCTTCTGCGAAATTTCTCTGTTGTTTCTTTCAAGTGACTTTCATGACCAGTTACATTGAACTGTCACTGATATTATCTGTTTGATACGAACACTAGCTACCCCTCCTCCCCGAAAAAAAAAACCCTTTTTCCCTGTATCTGTGCGGATAAGCGATTCGTCCAACCTGACTATTATTAACCTAATGTTTATTAATGCCTGAGGGATCGGAGAACCGAGTTCGAATTCCAGTCGAGTTCATTACATTCACTTACGTGCTAATACCCTTAGGAAAGATATGAATCCAATTCTTCTGGTCTGAAGAGGCACGGTGGAGTAATGAATTGCGACTCGGATTGAGGAATAGGAGAGCCAGTTCAATTCAGTCGAATCCATTACATTCCTTACGTGCTAATACCCTTTGGGAAAGATATGAATCAATTCTTCTGGTCTGAAGAGGCACGTTGGAGTAATGAATTGCGACTCGATTGAGGAATAGGAGACAGAGTTCGATTCAGTCGAATCCATTACATTCACTTACGTGCTAATACCCTTGGGAAAGATATGAATCCAATTCTTCTGGTCTGAAGAGGCACGGTGGAGTAATGAATTGCGACTCGGATTGAGGAATAGGAGAGCCGAGTTCGAATTCCAGTCGAATCCATTACATTCACTTACGTGCTAATACCCTTGGGAAAGATATGAATCCAACTCTTCTCCCACCTATGTGTAAAATCGCAGGGCAGACTGGGTCCTTGGTTGGCGACTAGTGTGGGAGAAGAAAAATTCAAACCAGCCCCCGGTTATCTTGACCAGGAATCACCACTGCTACTGCGGCTGGAGGGCACGTGCTGCCCCTTCGACCCTAATAGGATACGGGACTCTTGATCGTCAAGTGTGAAAAGAAAAATTTAAAGGTTTTATTTTTTCAATAACTTAGTCGACCAACTGACTTTGAAGGAATAAAAAATGGTTTAAAAAAATCAGTCAATCCTTTACTACTTCCTGTCCTTTGTAGCTCTAAACCAATGTTAACCTTTTTTTTCTTTTTTTTTACTTCAGAGCGCACTTGTAGAATAACTAAAACTCCGATGCGCACTTTAAATTTTAATAAGGAAAAATTAGTCATGAAATTTGAAAATAGGAAAATAATAAAGAAGTCTCCTGAAATAAACATTTATTTTTAAGACATTGTATATTTAAGCATGTTTTTGTAAAACATGTGTTTGGGTAATTGTTGAAGGCATTATATGTGATAAACATATTCTGATTTCATTGACAATGCATTCAATATTTGATCCATTTTTGCTTTTAATGTTGGTAAAGTGCTGAAAACTGCAATTCACAGAGAAAAATTGCATTACAATATCCAATGAATTACTAGCTATTAAAGGATGTTATTATTCAATGGCAATCCCATATGATCAATGGACACCTCTTTATGATCGATTTGTAAGACACGATCAGCAGATATATTGAACAGTTTCTCTTCCGTTAACGATAAACCAAAGTCATCAGTTGAAACGTCAATCGACTTAGACATGGAAGCCATGTCATTGGTGTCTCTAACTTTTTTAAAATAATGATTTTTTTTTTTCAATATAAAAATAATTAATTGAAAAACTAACGGTATTTTTTTCGCGTCGGTTAAGATGACACTATTTACATCATTCGGACTATTGTCCTAATCTTTCTCTCTATATTTCTGAGATGAGGTATTGTGTATATTATTCGGACTATTGATCATCTTTCTCTCTATATTTCTGAGATGAGCTGTTATGTACACTATTTACATTATTCGGACTATTGTCCTCATCTTTCTCTCTATATTTCTGAGATGAGGTATTATGTACTATTTTACATTATTCGGACTATTGTCCTAATCTTTCTCTCTATATTTCTGAGATGAGGTATTATGTACACTATTTACATTATTCGGACTATTGTCCTCATCTTTCTCTCTATATTTCTGAGATGAGGTATTATGTACACTATTTACATTATTCGGACTATTGTCCTCATCTTTCTCTCTATATTTCTGAGATGAGGTATTATGTACACTATTTACATTATTCGGACTACTGTCCTCATATTTGTCTCCATATTTATTACAGTGTTCTGGCCTTCATCAGGTGGTTGGAATGTCGAACTGAACCCTTTATTTCGCTCACTGGGGTAGACTGTTCTAGTTTTACGTGCCATGTTTAATGGATATCAGTTATCAGTTACATAACTGATATACAAGATACACTTAGCGGACATATTTTGGAGGAAAGATGTATGAAAAAGTTTGAAAATCTTCAAGGACACATGGCCCAGTGAATAAAATCGTTGTTTGGATTCAGGGACTTGACCCAATACCTGGTGTACAAAACCTTGGAGAGTTGTGTTAAAGGAACATAACTGAGATAACGAGTCACGACACGTGGAACTAGAACAATCTATTTCGGTGGACGAAATAAAGGGTTCAGTTTGGAATTCTAATCACCTGAAGAAGGCCGAAACGTCGTGAATATGGTAATAAAGATGAGTACAAAAGTCTGAACAATTTAAATAATTACAATACCTCATATATAGACAGATATTGAAAGTTTGAAAAAGTTTTCGTGTGATACGTTTCATCAGACCTACAAATTCGAAAAGTTTTTTGAATTTGTAGGTCTGATGAATTGGATCGTGATTACGATTCCAATGTAATAAATTATAACCATGGAATATTAGTGTTTGAGCCTTTTATATTATATTCTTACTCTGTCCTGGACATTGAGTTCTGCCTGGATTCGATCCTCTTGCATTGATGGGAAAAGATCGTGGAACAGTTTCACGTTGACTCCTTGGAATTCGGTTTTCCTTCTCTTAGATGAGTTGCTACCTAAGAGTTCAGTCTACCCTACTATTTAACCCTTTACCAAATGCATTTGTATGAAAGTGAACGCAACAGACATGCTCTGAATTTGAACTCAGCTCGCTGATTTCAATTCTACACCACCCGCTCACCCTAATAGGTATATACCCAAGTAAATTATGTCTGTTTCCAAGTTAGGTCGCCTTTATTCTCGCTCTCTTTCTTTCTCTTGCTCTCTCTTTCTTTCTCTTGCTCTCTCTTTCTTTCTCTTGCTCTCTCTTTCTTTCTCTTGCTCTCTCTTTCTTTCTCTCGCTCCCCACCTCTCTCTCTCTCTTTCTCTCGCTTTCTCTTTCTCTCTCTCTCTCTTTCTTTCTCTCTCTCTCTTCTCTCTCTCTCTCTCTCTCTTTCTTTCTCTCTCTCTCTCTCTTTCTCTCTCTCTCTCTTTCTTTCTCTCTCTCTCTTTCTTTCTCTCTTTTTTACTTTTTCCCGCTCTATTTCTCTCTGTTTTCTCTCCCTCTCTCTCAATGTATAAGTATGATAGATAAATACAAGATAGAGAGATACAAGATAGACAAAATAGATAAATACAAGACAGGATAGATAGATAGATAGATAGATAGATACGAGATAGATAGATAAGATAGATAGATAGATAATATAGATAGATAATATAGATACGAGATAGATAGATAATATAGATACGAGATAGATACGAGATAGATAGATAATATAGATACGAGATAGATAGATAATATAGATACTAGATAGATAGATAATATAGATACAGATAGATATGAATAATATAGATACGAGATGAATAGAATGAATGAGATAGATAAATAGATAGATGCAGATAGATGATGAATACGAGATAGATAAATAGATAGATACGAGATATATAGATAGATAGATACGAGATAGATAGATGATACGGATGGATAGATAGATAGATATGAACAGATAGAGATAGATAGATGAACAGATGCAGGATAGATAGATAGATGAGATAGATGAGACAGATACGAGATAGATAGATGAACAGATACAGGATAGATAGATAGATAGATAGATTTGCAGAGATAGATAGATAGATGAATGCGGGATGCATAGATAGATGAATAGATAGATGAACAGATACGAGATAGATGAACAGATGCAGATACGATATAGATAGATGAATGAACAGATACGAGATAGATAGATGAACAGATGCATGATAGATAGATGATGAGATGAATAGATACGAAGATAGATGAACAGATACATAGATAGATAGATAGATAGATGATGAATAGATATGAGGATAGATGAATGGATAGATGATGCAGATGATAGATGAATAATATAGATGCAGGATAGATAATTTATGATGCGAGATAGATATAGATATATAGATGAATAGATACGAGGATATAGATACGAGATGAGATGGATAAAATAGATAAATGGATAAGATGGATGCAGATAGATGAATGCAGATGCAGGATAGATGAATGGATGAATTGCGAGATAAATAGATGATGAATACGAGATAGAGATAGATGAATACATACGAGATAGATAGATAGATAGATGCAGGATAGATAGATGATGGATGACAGAGATAGATGGATGAATGATACAGGATAGATAGATAGATGGATACGAGATAGGATAGATGGATAGACAGATACGAGATAGATGAATGAACAGATGCAGATAGATGAATGAATAGATACGGATAGATAGATGAATGAATGAACAGATACGAGATAGATAGATAGATGAACAGATGCAGATAGATAGATAGATGACAGATACGAGATAGATAGATAGATAACAGATGCGAGATAGATAGATAGATGGAACAGATGCGAGGATAGATAGATGAACAGATGCGGATGGATGGATGAATGAATGCAGGATGAATGCGAGATAGATAGATAGATAGATAGATAGATAGATAATAGATAATAAAGATGAGATAGATAGATAGATACGAGATAGATTTAGGTATATATCTTTTTCTCAATTGACATTTACGTTTACTTCGGAAACTTTCTGTAGACACAAAAATGATTATGGAAGCAAAAAGTCGTCTTTTTATTTCATTTATGAGTTCATTTTATTTCTCACAAGTACAAGGAATCTAAAATAGGAGCGAAAAAATAGGCACTTTCGAGAAGCAGTCGGTTTTTTGCTTATCTTTCATACATAAGAACAGCAATCATTGTGTGTGTGTGTGTGTGTGTGTGTGTGTGTGTGTCTTAGCTTTGCGCGCAAAAACATGCTTTTGCATGCCTCGTAGACAGGGCACGCACACACAGACACACGGCCAAAAAAGCTGCAACGTGTTTCCCAAGCTGAGCAACGTTCGGGGTAACGAGCAAAAATAAATAAACTGCCCTTTCGATCGTTTCTTTCTTCTTTTTTTTTTCCTCAGTGTTTATATTTGTCTACCTTACTCTCTCTCTTTCTATTTGTGTTTAAGTCTCTCTCTCTCTCTCTCTTTCTATTTGTGTTTAAGTCTCTCTCTCTCTCTTTCTATTTGTGTTTAAGTCTCTCTCTCTCTTTCTATTTGTGTTTATGTCTCTTTCTTTCTAGTCTTTCTCTCTCTCTTTTCTATTTGTGTTTAAGTCTCTCTCTCTCTCTTTTGTGTTTAAGTCTCTCTCTCTTCTCTTTTCTATTTGTTTTAAGTCTCTCTCTCTCTTTCTATTTGTGTTTAAGTCTCTCTCTCTCTCTTTCTCTCTCTCTCTTTCTATTTGTGTTTGTGTTTAAGTCTCTATGTCTCTCGTTCTGTTTTCTCTCTCTCCTCTCGTTCTATTCTTTAGTTTTTCTCTCTCTCTCCTTTTTTTTCATCTCTATGTCTCTCTCCTTTTATTTTTCTCTCTCTCTCTTTTCCTTTAGTTTTCTCTCTCTCTCTCTTTCTATCCGTTTTCTCTCTCTCTCTCTCTCCTTTCAGTTTTTTCTTTCTCTCTCTCTCTCTCTTTCTTTCCTTTCCCCTCTCTTTCTCTCTCTCCTTTTAGTTTTTCTCTCTCTCTCTCTCTCTCACCCTCCTTTTTATCTCTCTCTCCTCTCTCTCTTTAGTTTTTCTCTCTCTCTCTTTTGTTTTCTCTCTCTCCCTTTGTTTTTCTCTCTCTCTCTCTCTCTCTCCTTTCTGTTTTTCTCTCTCTCTCTCCTTTTGTTTTTCTCTCTCTCTCCTTTTGTTTCTCTCTCTCTCTCCCTTTTGTTTCTCTCTCTCTCTCCTCCTCTTCTTTTCTCTCTCTCTCACCTCTTCTTTTCTCTCTCTCTCTCTCCTCTCCTCTCTCTCTCTCTTCTTTTCTTTCTCTCTCTCTCTCCTCTTCTTTTCTCTCTCTCTCTCCTCTCTTTTCTCTCTCTCTCTCTCTTTTTTCTCTCTCTCTCTCTCACTCCTCTTCTTTTTCTCTCTCTCTCTCTCACTCCTCTTCTTTTTCTCTCTCTCTCTCTCTCTTTCTTTTTCTCTCTCTCTCTCTCCTCCTCTTTTCTCTCTCTCTCCTCTTCTTTTCTCTCTCTCACTCTTCTTCTTTTCTCTCTCCTCTTCTTTTTCTCTCTCTCACTCTTCTTTTTCTCTCTCCTCTTCTTTTTCTCTCTCTCTCACTCCTCTTCTTTTTCTCTTTCTCACGTTTATTTAAAGTAGTGAGAGTGAAATGGACAGATGGACTGATTTCAAAACTCCAGCTAATAGATAATTAATACCATATCTGTCCCATAATATTTGATACATTTGCATACACATTTTATACACCAAATGTAACATCTGTTATGGTACAGGGCGAGTAATTATCACTAACTGAAACATGAAGCCACCTTTGTCGTTTTACTCGGAAGATTGCAAATAAGCATCACGTCATTAAGTGCCCCATTACATTGTTCAATTATTAATCACCTATCGATTATCTACACGTAATTGATTTCCGAGTCCAGCTCTTGATAAGAACTGGTCCATGTTCAGCGTTCTGATATCCACATGTCTCTTTCACTTAACATCCTATTTGCCATCCTACAGAGAGCCCTTCCCCATGAGTATCCAAATCTTACACTGCAATTAACAACACCCTGTATGTCAAGGGATTCCTCTAAGCACCCGCTTAGTATAAAAGGAAAGGGCATACTCTCTCTTTCTCACTCTCGCTTTGTTCTCTCTCTTTCTCTCTCTCTCTCTCTCTCTCTATCTGTGCCCCCCCCCCCCGACTGCAGGTCCTGACCGCAACCTTGTTACCACTTTTCTGTGGATTATCATGACCTCTTGGGGACGATAGTGGAGTAGTTTCCCGTTGTCTTCAACATAGTTTTGAATTCAAACGAGTCCTCTGAAACTCTATATGATCGATATCTTTCTTTTTATCTGCGGTGTGCGTTCAGGGCGTAGGCGATTATGGCTCTCCACATCCTCCTATCCCTTGTAGCTCTCAATAAGTTTTCTCCCTATACCATCTCTCCCAGATAACTTCAGATGACTGGAATTTCGGACCGAACCCTTTATCTCGCCCACCGGGGAAATAACTGAGACATATGAAAGAGATATAGCACGTGGAACTAAAACAATCTACCCCGGTGAACGAAAGAAAGGGTTCGGTTCGAAATTCCAATCACCTGAAGAAGGCCGGATCGTACAACGACCGAAACGTTGTGAATATGGCAATAAAGATGAGGATAACAGTCCGAAAAATGTAAATAATACAATAGGACTTTTTAAAGTTCGGTAGTTCATTACAAATGTACCCGTGCCAATTGTTTGTGCTCAAGGTTTTTTTTCAGGTTTCAGAATAACTTTTCGCGTTGAAAACCGCCAGCCGACCATATTCCCTGCAAGGTTCTCCATTTGTGCTGGATCAATATTGCAAGAGACAAAAACACGCTTAAGGTAGACCCGAAACCGTTTCTTTGGGTCCCCACGTGGGCGGCTGCCGGTCTCGTGCTCTCTGTAGAATACAGTTTCTGGGAGGCGACTGCCTGACATCCGCACAGCATGCCCAACCCAATGCAGAAGGCGCTGTCGTATGATGGCCTCGATGCTGCCAACCTACGCACATTGAAGAACCTCGGTGTGGAAGGTTTTATCCTACCAAGTAATGCGCAAGATTCGCTGTAGGCAGCGGATGTGAAATGTCTCAAGCAGTTTTATTTGTCGGCGATACTTCGCACCAGTAGCGTGCAGAAGTAGGGCATAGGTGTAACAGTCTAGGGTATACATATCTGGAGTGCATATCAAAGAGTGAAATAAAAACTTAGTTTTTATCTAATTTGAATAAAGTATTTATTTCATGTTGCATCTGTTTTTACATATTTAAAATTTCTTCCTTTCTCACATTTCTCAGTACTAGGCCATATATTTAAAATTTCTTCCTTTCTCACATTTCTCAGTACTAGGCCATATATTTAAAATTTCTTCCTTTCTCACATTTCTCAGTACTAGGCCATATATTTAAAATTTCTTCCTTTCTCACATTTCTCAGTACTAGGCTTATAGCCCCTCCTACTTGAGTCTTGGGGCATACAGTTGGCGCCAACCACCAAACTTCACCAGACCTCTGCACGCGACTGCTTCACACACAACTTGACAATGGATGACTTTAGTTACTTGGTCATGTCTTCAACGTTTATACTCTTTCTGAGCTGAACTGGTACACTCTCTAATTTTAGCTTTCATTATTATTATTATTATTATTATTATTATTATTAGTGTACCCGGCAATTGTTAGAAAGTTTTAATAGTGAGATGAAATGAAACAAAAGTTTTGAAACAATGTACTGAGATTCAATAAACCGGAGATAAAGAATTCACAACTAAAATAAAGGCCAAGAACCGTTTAATTAATCCATTCCCTTTAGCAACTCCCTGCGTCTGCTCGGTCTCACGTTGACTGCTGACCTGAGATGGAACAAATACATTGAGTCAATTGCTTCTTCCACCGCGAGGAAAGTTGGCTCTCTGTGCCGCACCAGAAAATTTTTCTCCCTTGAATCGATACTTCAAATATACACAACAACCATTCGCCCTTGCATGGAGTATTGCTGCCATATATGGTCTGGGGCACCTTCTGTTTACCTCGGAGTTCTTGACAAGATCCAGAGAAGGATATGTAATATAATTGGCCCTGATCTGACGTCTCGTCTACAGTCACTCTCTCACAGACGCGCCGTCGCCTCTCTCTGTCTTTTCTACAAATACTTTCAGGGTAATTGCTCCGATGAGCTGCTTTCACTGGTTCCCAGACTCCATAAATTCAAGCGCCCTACGAGGCAGGCATCCCGCTCCCACCCTTACACTGTAGAAACTTTTAAATGTAGCCGTCTCTTCTACTCCAATAGCTTCATATCTCGCACCTCTCGCCTGTGGAACACCTTTCCCAATTACTGTTTCCCTGAGAGCTATAATCTCCAACTATTCAAATGTAATGTCAATCGACATCTCCAGTTACCTTGATCTATCCACTCCCCTCTCCTCATCCTTTCTTCTATCACTCCTATCTGCTCTTGCTCCAAATCTTCTGCAACCCCCTGCATCCTAGTGGCTTCACGCCTTGCTCGGGGCGTAATGCTTAAAAAAAAATAATAATGACATTCAAAGGTATCTATGATTCATTGATTATTACGATTTTTTTTTTTTTTTTTTGCAATATCTTTTCATGTTAAAAACTGTATGTGTTTAATATAACAATGAAATGGAAATCTGTCTCCGGGGAAAAAGATTAGCAACAGAACGACAAAGAAGTTGACGACAAAAACTTATTTCAAGGCCAAGTTGAAACAAGACGATTACTTAATAGACAAAGGAGATAAATGCAGATAAATATTTTATTTGTATAGATTATTAAAATCGTAAAGAAATCACTCATAAATTTACTACCTTAAGTTGATTTACCTCCCTTACCTCTACAGATGGACAGGAAATATATAAATAAATGCACATTGATGATTTTTATATAGTTTTATTAATATTATTCTCCTATCTTTTTTTTTTTTTTTTTTTGCACTATGTTCGTTTTCAACCACAGATCGTACATTATAAGAGATCTCAATCAAGTCGTACAACCTCAAAGAGCACCTTTCGCTAATATTTGCTAAGCCAAGCAACGAGGACTTCTGAAGCGATGGGAGATTAAGCTTTCTTCTCATTTTCTCAATGTAGCAATATATGTTCGACCCAATTCGAAATATTTAAAAAATGAAACAGATATAGAAAGTAAAAAAGAAAGAAAGCGGGAGATTCTAGTCTCGCCTGCCATTATAGCTAGGTAGGGTGGCGATAGATTCAACTTATACACTCTTATATTTAGCCTTGAAAAGCCCAAGTAAAACACAAGATTGTCAGACTCTTATCATCATTAGTAATGGTCTGTGGGACTCGCTTACGAACCGCTACTCCACGGTTGGACTTGTTCTGTTAGATTTAGTAGGGGGAGAGATATTATTTCTTTTCCTGTTAAAGCGTTTGGTGATACCGGAAATTCCGACTCGGTCAAATGTGTATGTGTGTGTACGCGCGAATACGCGTCGGAGATGACTTTTTTTTTTTTTTTGGTATTTATATAAAGGTATTAATAACAGGAGCGCACGAAAAGTCCATATTTGATTGTCTCCCAGGTTTCTCCATCTCTCTCTCTCTCTCTCTCTCTCTCTCTCTCTCTCTCTCTCTCTCTCTCTCTCTCTCTCTGTGAGTCTCTCTTTCATGATTTCTTCTTAACAGCTTCTTACCTCCTCGTTCTCTTTCCTGTTGTCCACCTCCTTATGATTTTTCATAATTTCTAGATCTGAACTTACTCTTTTCCTCTCTCCCATTTTCTTTCTCTCTCTCTTTCTCTATCTCTCTCTTTCTCTATCTCTCTCTTTCTCTATCTCTCTCTTTCTCTATCTCTCTCTTTCTCTATCTCTCTCTTTCTCTTTCTCATTTCTAATTATTTACATCCGTCTCTATCGTCCTCTCATTTCGCCCGCTTATTTTTCATTATATCCAACTCCCTCTTCCTCCCATCTCTTTCGCTCATTCCTATTTCCAGTTCTCTTGCTTCCATCTCTCTCACTTCCATCTCCCCCTCTCTTTCATTCCTGTTATTTTTAACAATCTTCTCTCTCTCTCTCTCTTTCCCACCTCTATCTCTCTTTCCTTTTTCTTTCTTTCATTCCTATTATTTCCAACTTTCATTTCCTTCTACGTCTCTGTCTTATTATTTCCTCCTCTTCTTCTTCTTCTCTGTCTCTTGCGCGTTTTTTTTTTCTCATTCCCAATTGAATGTTCAATTTTACTGCCAACCAACTTTTATTCCTACATTGAGAACATCGGAATAAAGCTTAGTATCAAAGATTTGGTAAAAGATGCCCTCTCACAGAGATTTTACGACTTGCTGGAGAACAGCCATTATGCAAAAGAAGGAAAGATAATAATAATAACAGCAATAATAATAATAATAATAACAACGGCAATAATAATAAGAATAACAGTGCCTAAATAATAATGGCAATAATAACAAAAATAACAATAATAATAACAACAGCAATAATAAAAACAACAAAAAACAACGGCAACAATAATAATTACAATAACAGCGTTTAATTAATAATAATAATAACAGCGGAAAAATAATAGTAATGACAATAATAACATTAATAATAATAATAATAATAACAGCGAAAATAATAAAATTATTAATAATAATATCAAAATTAATATTAATAACAACGGCAAAATAATAGCAACAACAATAATAACGACAACAGAAACGACAATATTAATGGTAATAATAATAACAGCAAAAATAATAATATCAATAACAACGGCAATAATAATAATAATAATAATAATAACAGCAAAACAATTGGCGTTATCGTCTTGCTTGCGATGAACTAATTACAAAAAATATTATGTCTGAAGAACATAATTTCCCCGGAGTACGTCAATGTGCGACACTAAAATAATAATAATAATAATAATAATAATAATAATATATTAGGGCATTTTCATTTTTTAAAGATGCCAAAACTTTTTTCAAGTACACAAATAAAGACCGACTTACGGCCACAGCACGTTGAAACATACCGGTTAAGCAACGCCGAGTCTGGTCAGTACCTAGGTGGGTGACCGCTTGGGAAGATCAGGTGCTGTAATCTTGGCGTCATTCATTGTGGCTCAAAATTGTTAATCGGAGAGCCGAGTTCTAATTCCAGTTGGATTCTTTATATACACTTACACATCAAATACCCTTGGGATAGGTAGGGATCCACTTCTTCCCCCCCGCCAACAGCTAATGGTTAATTAGTAGCACTTGTATATCAAATTCATTATTATCTTAAAATAAAAATTCTTACAATCTATAAAAATATTTTCTGCCTTTAAATAACTGGCAAAATTGTTTTTCTTGGTACCGGCTTTTCTTGACACATTTTAATTATTGACGATCCTCACTTGTCCGTTGTTGCTAAGAATTGCTTTGGTTTATTTTGATTTACGGCATATCAACACCTCAATGGGTTATTTAATGCCGACAAGATTTTTATTGCGGGACATTTTTTTTTTTCAAAAATATATTTCTGTTAATTTTTTTTTCAACAATGTATTGCTGGTATTTTTACTTTAAAAGCTATTTTTACACTTTCATATTGTTTTGAACCCAGTTTAGGGGGTCCCTATTTGCCCATAGTTGGAACCCTAACAGGTGCTACCACCCCGGGTCAGGGTAGATCTGGGAAGAAATTCATTCTTTTTTCTTATAATTAATATTTGTTCTTTTTGTTTTTCATTTACGACATTTTCAACTTAGATTGATTAGCTGATTTTGTTTAACGGCATATCAACACCTCTATGGGTTATTTAATGTTGAAATCTAAATATTTTGTATGTAATTTTATGCTTTCAACTACAAATATTTCGTACATCATTTTCAGAGTAAAGGTATATTTTTTTATATATATTTTGTACATCATAAAATGTATTATTGGTAATTTTACTACAGAAATATACTGTGGATTTTTGTCGGGGGGGTGGTGGATAACTATATACCCATAGCTGGGACCCTAATAGGTGCTACCACCCCGGGTCAGGGTGAACCTGGTAACAATTGCAGTTAAGAGGTGATTCAATGCCCCCTCAAAACCACCAATCTCCCGATGGAGCTTATCGTCTTACCCAGGACGAATCAACTTAGATATGAAACATTTTTTTTTCTGAAAAATAACTTCTTATATTTGCTTAGATTCTGAAAGGCATCTTCCGCTATTTCTATGCGACTTCGGATTTCGGTGCCATTTTTTTTTTTAATTTTATGTACCTGCTTGTTTTTATGGCTGCAATACGTCCTTCATTTTACTGTTATCTTTTAAAGACAAAATCTGTATTTTTTTCTAAATTTTATTCTTTTTTCCCCCAAATGATATTCTTCTTTAAGGATTGATTTTCCTGTTGTCTTTATTTTCTTTCAGTTTTGGTCTTTTTCCCGTATCTACACTAAATCGTTTTAATTGTTTATTTGTCTTTTTTTTTCTATTTGTATTTTTTTTTTTTTTTTTTTTCAAGTTTCCTCTCAGTTCTTATTGTTTTCCCATAATGTTTTTGTTTTCCTTTGTTTTTCCTCTTTCTTTTTCCCTTGTTTCTCTCTCTCTCTCTCTCTCTCTCTCTCTCTCTCTCCCTTGCTTCTCTCTCTATTTCCCTTGTTTCTCACTCTCTCGTTTTCCTTTGCTTCACTCTTCTTCGTTTTCCCTTGTTTCTCTCCTCTCTCTATTTCCCTTGTTTCTCTCCTCTCTCGTTTTACCCTGTTTCTCTCCTCTCTCGTTTTACCCTGTTTCTCTCCTCTCTCTCTTTTTACCCTGTTTTCCCTCTCTCGTTTTCCCTTATTTTTCCTTTCTTCTTTCATGTTTTTCCTTCCTTCCTTCCTCCCTTTCTCCCCGTACTTTTTATCGGATTTCCTTCTTTTGCTCTTACAGCCTCTTTGTTTGTTTAAGAATATTATCTTTTCTTGTTTCAATGGGGATAACTGAATAACTTCAGTGAAAAAAAAAAAAACCCAAAAATGCCATACTGCAAAGGCATTATCGTTAGATAATTGCTTAAGATTTGCTATGTTTATAGGCAAGAAGACTCCGTATTGGAAATAAACTGTATGGACAGAAATCAACTCTACCTGGTGACTGTTATTTTCAGGCCTTAAATAATCAGCTATTAGTTTCGGACCGACCCACATGTGTGTTCGTAACAGTGTTAAAGTTTTAAAGAAAATGTTTTTGTTTCGGTATTTGTCCGATTTTTCCCGCTTTTTGACGTTAATTCTCTTTGAAATAATGTAGATTAATTTTTCTGTTTGCTACGAGAAAATGGTAATGGTTATTTTAATAAATCCTCTTTTATTTATTTATTTATTTATTTATTTAAATTGACCGCTCATTTGTGAGAAGGAAAATATTCATACAATAGGAGGGTCAGCTAAAAAGTTGATAGGCTGACCAACATATAAATATAAGTAGACACCGGTTGGCAGACCAAAAGACATGCAATTGTACCAGAATAGAACAGTTGGCCGACCAGTTGTTCTATTCTGGTACACATGCATGTCTTTTTTTGTGTACGAACTGGTGTGTCGACTTACATTTATATCTTGGTCAGCCTATGAACTTTTCAGCCGACCCTCGTATTTAAATATCTATTAAAAGTTCTTTTTTCCATATTTTCTTTTCTTTTATTTTTTAATTTTTTTTCTCTTGATCGTTCCCGCACAGACTTTTCGTCCGGTCGGCCATTTTACTCGCTCATAGTTTTCCCTCCATAAGTCTTTCTCCCCCTCCCTCTCTCTCTCTCGATATATATATATATATATATATATGTCTTTCTTCTCATGAGTTTGAATTTCTGTTACTCCTTATACATCTCTTCGTATCTCTTCATCACTCTCTCTCTCTGTATATATAATATATATATATAATCTTTCTCTCTCACCTCATATCTCCGTCTTAATTTCCGAAATGAGAAAAACTTTTCTCTCTCTCTCCATATTTCCCTCTTTTTCTCTCTCTCTCCATATTTCCCTCTTTTTCTCTCTCTCTCTCTCCATATCTCCCTCTTTCTCTCTCTCTCCATATCTCCCTCTTTCTTCTCTCTCTCCATATTTCTCTCTCTCTCTCTCTCTCTCCATCTCCCTCTTTCTCTCTCTCCATATCTCCCTCTTTCTCTCTCTCTCCCTCTCCCTCTCTCTCTCTCCCCTCTTTTCTCTCTCTCTCCATATCTCCCTCTTTCTCTCTCTCTCCATATCTCCCTCTTTCTCTCTCTCTCCATATCTCCCTCTTTCTCTCTCTCTCTCCATATCTCCCTCTTTCTCTCTCTCTCTCTATCTCCCCTTTTCTCTCTCTCTCTCCCTCCTCTCTTTCTCTCTTCTCTCCCATCCTCTCTCTCTCTCTCTCTCTCTCCCTCTTTCTCTCTCTCTATCTCTCTCTCCTCCCTATTTCCTCTCTCCATCCCTCTTTCTCTCTCTCTCCATTCTCCCTCTTTCTCTCTCTCTCTCTTCCCTCTTTCTCTCTCTCTCCACATCTCTCCTCTTTCTCTCTCTCTCCCATTCTCCCTCTCTCTCTCTCTTCCCTCTCTCCTCTTCTCTCTCTCTCCTCTCTCTTTCTCTCTCTCTCTCCCTCTCTCTCTCTCTCTCTCCCTCTCTCCCCATTTCTCTCTCTCTCTCTCTCTCTCTCTCTCCCTCTCTCTCTCTCTCCATCTCTCCCTCTTTCTCTCTCTCTCTCTTTCTCCCTCTTTCCCTCTCCATATCTCCCTCTTTCCCTCTCCATATCTCCCTCTTTCCCTCTCTCCTTCCCTCTTTCCCTCTCTCTCCCATCCCTCTCCATATCTCCATATTTCCCTCTCCATATCTCCATATTTCCCTCTCTCTCTCTCCATATTTCCCTCTCTCTCTCTCCATATTTCCCTCTTTCCCTCTCTCTCTCCATATCTCCCTCTTTCTCTCTCTCTCTTTATATATATATATATATATATATATATATTTCTCTCTCCTCGCATCTCTGTCTCAATTTCCGGAATGCGAAAAACTGTTTATTTATATTGACAAACGCCCGAAGAAGGCCGAAAGATACAAAAGCCGAAACGTTGTGATCGTAACAATGAAGGTGACAGCATGATGTAAATAAACTGTAAAATACTGGTCTGACACACCTTTTCATATTAAAAACCAGACCCCAAAACAAAGTATTACTGCCATATATTGGCTGGAGCTACACAATCCTCACCATCTAGTTTTGAATATCCTTTAAAATCGTTTACGCTGCCTTGTGAATGATGACTTATTTTTACAACTCCTTTCCCACAGAGGCGACGTTGCAAATGTGTTGCTGCTCTACTGGTATTTCCATGGCAAATGTTCCAATGAGTTCCATTCTTAAGTACCACTAGTTCAGACCTTTAAAACCAAGACCCGCCTCGTGACATCCATGAAGGTTGAATCACTCCTATTTCTAACATGTTCCTTTTGCTATTCTTTCCTAAGAACTGTTGCTTTGTGGAACAGACTCCCACCTGGATGCTTCCCAGAACACTACAACCATAACCACTTCAAATCTAGATTCCATCGTTATCTATCCTCTAGATCTTAATAATCTTCACTTCCTACCCCCTTCTCTTACATTCATATCACACACTTCATTCAGTAATCCTCTATCTTGAGTGGCCCTTGGGTCATGTATTGAGTTAACTTTAGTAATAAATGATTGTAGAACGTAAAACTGACCCTGACTTTATAATAAAAAGCAACAAGTTGAAAAGAAAAACTAGTTAAGAATTAATAATAACAATGTTTTCGCTAAGAAATTCAGATAGTTTAATACAATCAGCTGAATTTAATATTCAAATTCCAGCTGAGATTGTGTTCTTGTTGAGAAAATTCTGACCAGGCACAACATTGCTTAACTTCAGAGATACATTAAAAGGCAGTGCTTCAATGTAATATGTCTGTAAGACATCATTATATATAATGGCGTCTTGCAATGGGCACACATGACTGAGGTGGGTGGTAGTTATCATATATATATATATATATATATATATATATATATATATATATATATATATATATATATATGTGGGGGGTGTTTAACTATGAAAAAAAAAAAAAAAACAGTCAAGAAAAAAAACTCAAGAACTAAACAATGTTTCCACAGAAAAAAAAAACATTGTCAGCTTAAAAACATTATCACTATTACTATGAGAGATGTTCAGACGAGTTACATCCCTTAGTTCCACCAGCTCAGATCTTTACTTGCTTGCCAAGGAAAGATAAATTTCAAACTAACACAGATATAATTTTTAAAGAAATATTTTCTTAAAAAAAGTAAAAAACATTGAAGACTTAATTTCCAAACAAATAAGCAAACAATATTTGGTAAATGTTAGAAAAGATTTTAACTTGCACTCACTGAAATAGAATGTGGCTTCAGACTATTTCTCATGTGTATCAGTCGATGTTTGATACACAAGACATAAATAGAAAACTTGATTAAAAAAATAATCAAAGTCAATCTATAAAATTTTATCAAATAACCTATTTATCTTGCTTATTGTTGTTTTTATATAAACTTAAGTATTTCTCATTTCCAATCTATTCTGCTTAAGTCCTCACTGTCCAGCTTTGACAGAGTTCAAAAGTGATTACACGGCCTTGTGGGTGATGAATGATTCTCCACCCTGCAACCGTTATCCCACAGACAAAACACTGCTAGCTTCTCACTATTCTATCACTATTACTATGGCAGATAGTCAAATGAGTTACCTCCCTTAGTTCCACGAGTTCAAACCTTTAAAGTTAGAACCAGCCATTCCATGTTTTTGGTAACAAATCATCTCCATTCCCTTTATGTTCTTTTGATAAGGAGTAAATTCCACTCAGACAGCTCTTTCCCCAGAAAACAAATTCCCAAGAGGATGCTTCCATGACAGCTACAATCTTGGTCTCTTTTTAAGTCCAGGGTCAACTGATATTTATCCTAGACATCCTCACCTTCCATCCCCACTCTCTTAGAGCAATCTCATTCAGTAACCATCTACTTTGAATGGCTCTTGATTGGGTGAACTGTAATAAGAAAAAACAAATATTCCGACGAGCTCTATTCTTTAGTACAACCAGTTCAGACCTTTACAGCCAATACTCGCCTCGCGATATCCAGGGGTGTTGAATCACCCCTATTTCCTACACATTCCTTTGGTATTCTTCCCTAAGAACCGCTACTTTTTGGAACAGTCTCCCACCTGGATGCTTCCCAGAACACTAAAATATTAACTTCATCGAGCTTAGGGCTAATCATTATCTATCCACTGTATCCTTTTAATCTCTACTCACGCTCATCTCATAAACGCTCATATCCATAACGCTCTACCTTGAGTGACACCCGGGCTTTGTATTAAATCAATGCTAGTAAAAAAAAAAAAAATTTCAAATGATAACGCATGAATGGGTGAAATTATTGTGAAAATGATTAACTTTAATCCCTTTATATGTGACTTGATTTGCTGTACAAAAAGTTGAATTTCATAGTTATGTTGTCATATCCTGCTATGGCAAAAAAAAAACCAACTTTGAGAGAAATTAACAATAAGAATATTACAACTGAGGCATTGAAAAAGAATATTGTGGAAAGGGAAGTAATATTAATAATGCAGAGGGCTAAAAGTTATTTCGTTGTTTACGACTTATCAACCCTTTTCAGGTTATTTAAAAGCAGAAAATATTTTTATAGATTGTAAGAACATTTATTTTAAGATAATACTTAGAGATACAAGTTTTACTAATTAACCATTAGCTAGAGAGAGAAGAGGTGGATTCATGCCTTTCCCAAGGGTTTTTGCGCGTAATTGAATATAATGAACCTGACTGGAATTGGAACTCGGCTCTCCGATTATTAATTCTGAGCCATTATTCATTACAGCATCTGGTCATCCCAATGCAGTCACCCATCATATTGACCAGGTTCGACGTTGCTTAACTTTGGTGATCGTACGTGAACCGGTCTTTATTTGAGAAGTTTTAGGATCTGTAAAAAACGTACGCAACAGTAATTCTGTTCTTCAGACATATTTTTTAATCAGTTCACCCCATGCAAGGCGATAATGCCACTAAAACGTATTTTACGGTTTATCAACCCTTTGCTGGTTAATTAAAGCCTGAAAATATTTTTATATTATCCGATTTTTTTTTAAAGTGATAGTTTAGTGATACAAGTCTTACTAATTAACCCATATCTAGGAGGGGAGAAGCGGTGGATTCATACCTTTCCGAAGGGTATTTGCGCGTAGGTGAATATAACGAATTCAAATTAGAACCCGTCTCTCCGATTAACAATTTCGAGCCATTATCCATGAAACCACCAGCACATCCAAGCTTACAGTATCCAAACGGTCACCCATCTGACCAAGCTCGACGTTGCTTAACTTCGGTGATCGTATGGGAACCGGTGTTTTCAACGTGTTATGACCGTAAACCCATTGTAGAGATAACATTTTTCGATAGCAGAATTACTGAACCGAGCTTTGTTTATAAGTGAAACATTGGCTTGAAATGGCTTTGTGTTGGTCCGAAATGGCTTTGTGTTGGTCCGAAATGGCTTTGTGTTGGTCCGAAATGGCTTTGTGTTGGTCCGAAATGGCTTTGTGTTGGTCCGAAATGGCTTTGTGTTGGTCCGAAATGGCTTTGTGTTGG